TAATAATTCGTTCCACAGAAATTCAGAATTCCATTTTCTTTTTCGCATTCTCCTTTCTGTTTGCTGATTTGATTTTCTTTTCCCATAAAGATTACTGTACAGATATACTTCTATTTTTTAAGTGGAAAATAACTTTTGAAAAATAAATATGTTAAAATAAATTAAAAATTGAACTTGATATACAATTGTTTATTGTTCTTCCTTTGGATGTTGCTTTTTGCCATGAGTTTAATTTCTCGTTGGGTTATTATTCATTATTATTATTATTCCCACGGGCTCTGAGTGGAACATAGGGCTTCAACAACACACGATTGCCCCGAGGGCTTCATCTTCTCCTTACCTGTTCCCCTCCACGTCACCTTCGGATCCATGCCCAACTCGTAATTTCCGATTCAGTTTCTACTAGAACAGTGGCCTAGAGAGCGGTTTCACTCAGCGGTCTCCTCAGCGTATATCTAACCCAACTACATTTTCCTCATCATATTTGTTGATTGGTTCATTCCCAGAGTTTCTTGTTGGCAAATCTTTCTGGCTAACCATCTGATCTTACTATGGATCCAGCGGAGGTAGCTGTTGATGAAGTCCTCAACTACCTGTTGGAAAAACGTTTAGTAACTGGAATGCCACGTTTCTGACCTTTATGGAAGAACTTACTGAATTAACATCGGTGTTGAAAATTTGAATTTTGTTCCTTATACGAGTAGTATTAGATGATTGTAACCTTACTTCCCTTTGTGTTGAATACTGCTTTCATTATCTTAGAGATTGGTTCCTACTGCATAAGAACTTTGGCTGCTATTAGTGACATCATGATAGCCACTCCCTTAGCATGCTGGTGGTTGTCGTCTGGGTAATCTGAGTAGATTACTGGCTCTACATTTAACAGACTGAAGAGTCCACATCCATTCCTCACAGATTCGTAGCACTTCTGTGCCAGATCTTTTGACTTATTTGGTAACCTGGGCAGCCTTACCAGCTTTGTACATTGTACGAACATTCCACGTCCCAGTGTTTATTTTAACTTTCATCGAAAGGAAACACATCGTCTGACTTGCTTCCTGAAGGCTTTCACCAGCCCATGTCATTTCATCTTCCCCGTTCCAGTAAAGAATAAGTTTCTGTAGTGATGTGATTGGTTTCCCGGGGTAGGGTCACTAGCCACACTTAAAACCTTCCCATTTTTCTCTGGCTTAGGATCTGCTAGAAAAATAACGAACTAGTAAATCAGGAGAAATTAAATATAATAAAAAAATGAAAACTGTTTACTGCTTATATAATTCAGTGTTAAACTCTTCCCTTGTTTAGCACATTTTACCATAAATTTTGACACTCAGTGGGGTATTAGTTTAAAACAAATCGGTTTCAGTGACGTGTTCCAAATCTTATGTAGCTCAGAATTTCAATTCTCGACAGTATTCACAGAAATGTGTTTCGCTCAGGTGAATACTCTCGTAACCATTTGTTAATTGGCACTTTCGTGTATCACTTACAAATTTTCAGTAATTTCGAAAGAAATACAAAACCAGTAGGTTGTAGTGGATCGTGATATGCAATTTAGATTCATAGCAGAGACAACATTGTTTAGCTCGGATAAAGGTAGCATGATGTTTTAAATAGTAACTTCAAGCCCTATTATATTCCAGAAGAATAAAATCGCTTCATTTCTGTCGTGAAACAGAGATAAAAATCATAGCAAAACCACCAGTGATACGTGTCTGTTATTCCTCCATTTAACCAGATTTGGAAACTCTTAAGCAGTCATTATGATACTAATAATAGTGTAACATACATTAAGGTTGTATGATGAGGAGTTTTATCAACAAAATACAGTCTGATCATAAAACAGCGAGAAACAATCGAAGTCATACCTACAGTTTTGAATAATTTATAGTACTCAGAAATTCCGGACGATAAGTGTTAAAGTCCTTCTTAATTCCTAATTTCTTCATTTCTGATATTTAACCAAACATATACATTACTTTCAGTAATAGTGAAAAACTCCTCTTAGTACTTCTAGAAAACCTTTTAGGAGCGCTTTGATAAAATGAGATTGTTCCATATTTGATCACAGATTGGTATAAGTTGGAAAACCACTGAAAAGCAGAGTGTACTGGACAGTCTTTTCTTCTTAGTTCGGGACTCTCCATCAGTGTGCACCGATGATCCCACTGGAGATTGAACCCTGGACCTTCAGGCAACGAGGCCGACCCCTTATTCATTCATCTACTGGGTCGGGATTCAGTAACCTGTGAATTCTATCCTTGTCAATTTACGCATATAGCGCGATCGCCGGCCAGTGTCATCGATGAGTATTTGTCCTCACACCTGACCTGATGGATCCCATTGGTCACAACTCCAGGCAGCTTCGTACAGGTGTAACAACAGAAGACAAGGGCCAGGCAACAGATCGTTTATTAAGGAAATCAAAGCATATTTATATATTTTCATGTACATTATTATAGTTTGGTTAAGCAAACAAACACAGTCTTCCGATTGGTTGTTTCTCACTTAAAGTTAATCTTTCATCTCTTTGTGACTGTTTCTTGAATGTCAGATCATCTAAATGTTAACTGTAACCACCTACGCCAAGTCTGCTGTGGTCGGTTTTGAATCAATCTTTGTTCATATTTTCTCACAACAAATCTTGAGAACGCAAACATTGACGTAAATTACTGTCTACCAATTTGGCTAGTAGACAGCTCTCACCACACAGGAACCTGTCACTAGCGAGCAACAGATGAATTCTTAAAAGTCAGTATGGCAGAACTTAGAATTCGGGGGCTATCAGGTACTGGCTAAAGTAGATGAATGGTCAAACTGTTTTGCCTGGTAATCTGAAGGTCCTGGATTCGAACTCCAGTGGGATCGAAGTTATGTACAGCTGAAGAATCCCAGACCTGAACATAAAATTTGCCTAGTATTCCTTGTTTTTCAGCGGTGCTTTGAATGACACCGATCCGACATAAAACTTGAAATAAATCATATTCCTACACATTAACATATGAAACGTAGATTGCGTTGTGTTTCAGTGGTTAAATAGAACGGAAGGAGTGTCTGGTGACATAGACCCTAATTTCGTTTGAATATTGTTATCTTTTTTAATCAATAGGTGGTAATCAGTATTACTGTTGAGTTCTGACTGTTCTGGTTATGATAGTCTTTCTAAAACCTTTACAATAGGCCATTGAGCTAAGTGACACTAAAAGAGCATTCACTTAAATGTACGGCAAGAAATAATCGATTGGCTGGCAATTTAGAAAGACGACTTATAACCATAAAAATGAAGCCTGCGAATGAACGCAATGTAAACTCATTTCTGTGATTATTACTTAAATACTTGATTTCCAACAGTTTATTCGTGGGGATTTGATTTGTATCAAGTTTGACCATGGATTGATATCATTCAGAGAACCTTTGAAAAACCGGAAGTACTGGAAAGCTGTTTCGTCCTAGTTTGGTTACCATCGGAAGTACGCGCCCACCTGGTTTTGAATCCACCACCTACTGGTTGCAAGGTGAGCTCGCAGACCATTCACTCACTGGCACCTGCTTTAATGACCCATGAATTCTAACTTCTGCCAATTCGTGATTTTAGTGTAAATTTAATTATTCTCTAGGTATTCTTAGTTATTTTCCACCGCTGCGGCACCGCGGTGGCACACCACGATAATTCTGAAATGAAAAAATCTGTAATACCTTCACAGTTATGAATATCATTATTGTGAGTCTACATATAACTACGTTGATTAAATTCGTTTTAATTCACACACCGATTTTACTGGAAATAAAGATTAACATTATAAAAGTTGTTATGTTTGCTGAACGTAAATATCAACAGATTGTTTACTCAATGGCTTAAGATGGATGACGTATTGTTTTGTTTGTAGCAGAATAAGCAATCTGAAAATGCCTTCACGAAAAAAAGTTGATTAACAATATTTACACATTCTGAATATAACAACTAACTTTGTAATTACTACCGTTTTCCCCTTAGGCTGTAGATCATTTTACTAATATTTGTATATCTTCTTTCGAATTAATTCTTATTATTTGTTATTATTATTTATTATTCCCATTTCGAATACTTGCTGCTGTGTGATGGTGTTGTTATTATTGTGTCGAAGAGGCTGTGGCCTACACAGTGAAATATTCTGCAAAATCCTGCTTTGATTTTCTGAGCGTGCTGTGATCATTTTAAGTAATTTTATAATGTGTTATTTAACGACGGAAATTTCGTCTGAATTCAAGGACTACCATGCTATCGTTGCTTGATCTTGGACTGTCAGTCAGAATCAACCTTTGTTCTGTTCGATTTTTACAGATAGAGCACTGACCCCACTATTTTGCGAATATTCTTATCATTTTTCAGGTAATTTAGAATTGTGTTTGTTTGTACCTGGGAAACTTTTAAACTGTATAGCTACCCGACGGTATTATCGAGGTGATTTCATACTTTCGATACAAGTTATCATAACAGATTCTTTACGTGCAGTCATGTTGGAATATATAATATATAATATTGTTGGAATGTAAATTTTAACGGCGTGTAACTCGCGAAAGTTTGACAAGCTATACAGAAGAAAGCGTTGATTAGTTTCCTGTATTCATACCGAAATACCTCAATTTTTTGATATTACAGTGTTGTATGGTGGTACTACACTGAGAAAAATGAAAGCCAGCTCCAACAATGTAAGCATCACTTGTCGCAGTAAACACGTTCAAATATAAACTAACGTCATGTTTACAGCCAAATTTTAAATGAGAGCCTGTATTAATGTGCTTAATTATACTTAAACATTTTTTAGATAAATGTTGACAAATAAAAGATCATGGCAGAGTTTTATATATCTAACCTCTTTTCGTCATGTTTTAATAGAGTAAATGGTCCATTGAAACAAGTAATAAATAAAACTGACTCTTATTTTCGTTATGTTGATGATACTTTTATTATTCTTGATGTGAAAGCTGAGAAGAATGAAATGTTTATTAAATTTAATGATGGACATCTATCGCTCATCTTCACTTGTGAAGAAGAACATGATGGTAGACTACATTTCCTTGACGTCCAATTGAGCAGAAGAGAGGATGGTTCACTCAAGAGAGATGTCTATAGAAAACCTACATCTTTAGGACAATATACACATTTCCTCAGTTTTGTACCAATCCGATACAAAGTCAATTTGGTCAGATGCCTCACGAATAGAGCAAGACGTATCTGTACAGATGACTCCCTACAAAATGAGTTAGGATACATCCAAAATACGCTGGTCCAAATGGGTTATCCTAGTAGATTTGTAAGGAGACACATGAACACCAAGTACAATAAAGAGAAACTGACAACAGTTGAAAAGAAACAACTGTTCATGAAATTGCAATTTAATGGGGACGTGGCTAGCGAAGTCTTACATCTGAGATTATCGAGAGCGATAAAACGGACTTATACTGCCGCCACCCTTTGTTTGTCATTTTCCAGCCGACCAATTATGATTGCTCAAGTGAAAGACAAGCTACCTAGCTGTGCCACATCTATGTGTATCTATAAATTTAGTTGCTCCTGTGGAGAGAGCTATATAGGGCGAACAACTAGACAGCTTAACAAACGCATTAATGAGCATCTTCCTTCATGGTTTGGAAAAGGTCAAATAAAATCTATAAGAAGTTCTATTTTGGCTCATTTGATTGATAGTGGTCACCAAGTGGACAAAAATAGTGCCTTCAAAGTTATCTATCGCATTCCATCGAGCCTTTCGAACGGAATTCGAATCCGTCTTTTACACATAGCCGAAGCTATGGGAATTCGAGAGAACAATCCTAGTCTTTGCATACAAAAGAAGTTTGTTCTACCTTTGTCTCTCCCTTGGCCTAGGTAAATTCTATTCAAAACCCTCCCACCCTTTCTTATTTTCCATCTCCTTCGTATTTTTATGTTATTTATTTAAAGTCTGATTATCTGTCCACTTCACCATTAGTATTACGTAACTTTTAAGATTTGACCTAATTTATTTATTGAATTGTCTACATATACATATATTACTACCTTTGTTATTCTTATCGCCACCTGCATAAACCTTATTATCAATATTTTGTTATCATTATAATCATCGTTATTAACTACGTTCAAAACATTTACCACATTATTATTATTACTATTATTATTTGATCCACAAAATCACCGTCATTGGTTAAAATTTTTTATATATAAATCTATGTAAATTAGAGTAAAGCCTGAAGAAGATCTAACTGAAAACAATATTGTTCGCTTATATGTCTTGTTCTAATAGAGTAAATGCTCATTTCTTTACAAACCAACATATTCAGTTGACATGTGCCAGTACATTTTTATAGTAACAGAAAATTTTGACATCACCTCGAAGTTTTTTTTAAACACATAATTCGTCAAAAAGATTTCTTCTCGCGGCTCCTCTACAAAACTTTATATATATACTGTTACTACCAAAACCGACTTGTTGTGGTCCGAATGAAGGAAATATACCATTGCGTTTCGGCTACAGTATAGCAGACGAAACTTTCTTGAGAGACTCACAGTCAGCAGCAAAAAGACGGTTATTCGTGGTCAGACCTATGGTTCTATTCAAAAGTAATAACATCAAAAACTCAAATTTACCTCAACAGAGACGTTAGGCAGCTGTAACGGTTTGACAAGTATCTAGTATAAAACAAACACTGTAGAATAAAGCTAACTAACGAAAATTCAACCATAAGAAGTAGCTGAAAATCAAGTAGAGTATTCCCGACAAAGCGAGATCAAAATTCTGGTCGCAAGTTACATTTTGCAATCCACTTGTTGCAATCATTTCTACCCTTAAATTGTTGCATTATCATCCCCTTGACATGTTGATATTACTTAATTATTGTTAAAAAAACCTATCACTACTATAGAATGGTGAAATCTTGCATTGCTGGTTACTTCTTAATCGAACTGTTCCAAAATGATGAATAAGTTTTCATCATAAATTAGTCGGTGGTCCCTGTCGAATAGTCCTACTCTGAGTCCCTCCAATTGTTAGACTGTTAATTTCACTTTCAGACGCAGACGTTGGTTTCCATGATTTTTCTACTATAGAAGGCACTGAATTTGAATGTTAGATACCTTGGACTATGTCTTTCCTTTACTCCTTCTTGATCATCTCACCTCATGTTAATTTCTGGAAAGACATCTTGTCTAACCCTCTACACAAAGAAGTTAAGACATTCTAGTTTCATTCTCTCCTTGATTTTTTAGTTTGTTATTCCCTGTATTCTACCTATTCTTCTTCATTGCTCGCCTTTGTGTTACATTGTTGAGGGCACTAGAAGCTGTTGGTAATGCAAATGAGAACGTTAAACTAACAATCTTAATAGCTTTGTGGACAGACACTTGAACTTATGCAAGAACTCGGTGAATATCATATTGTCTGCTGATTTTGAGCAGTCTGTTTATCCACAACTCTTCCCTCGCATATTTCATCAGGGAGGATTAGAATCAACTATAAAACTCGCCGAGACCTATCTTTTGGCAGCGGTTTAGAACCAAGTAGCTTCTCCTCAGCCGAATAGGGATTTTTCTAAACTGGGCTAGGGCCCTAGGGACCATACTGCTGGAACCTTAGTAGGGAGGCTAGGACCTAGGGAAGCTATATATCAATCGATAGCTCTCCATGAGATCTACCCATTGATGCCGGTTTCGCACCTCATAGCTTCTCCTCAGCCGAATAGGGATTTTTCAAAGGCTGTAGGGGAAATCCTGTCTCTAGGCTCAGAAATCATGCTGCATGCTGACCTCGTGATATTTTTAGCTCCGCACCTCCAGGTTGCTTGCCATGTTGTATGTAGCTAGGGGGCATTGTCAACCTTAGGGCCACAGGGAGGCATAGACTGCTAGGCACAAAATCCCCCGTATTTTTCTTAGGAATAGCGTTCGCCCTCTGATTTATATACCCTTCGATTTTACTCGACGAGACGAATCGATTGGTACCGTCTTGCCTCTGTAGGACCTATGGTTGCGGAGTTATGGATTTTTAAAGGTTGGCAGGTTTCCCCATAGATATCGTAAGTCTTCCATCCTTTTACATTATATCCTATTATTTTTATTCATGTTTTGGCCAGATTTCTGTCTTAGCTAGCTTCATGCTTACTATGCTAGGGCACTTAGGGCCGATACTTGCAATTTTTCCTTAGGGAGGCCAGGACCTAGATAAGCTATATAGCAATGGATAGCCCTCGATGAGATCTATCCACTACCACCAGTCTCAAGGCACATAGCTTCTCCTCGGCCGACTAGGGATTTTCAAAGACTAGGGAGGATACTCTGTCTCTTGGCCTGTAGGTCATGCTACAGGCGTAGCTCCTGACACTTTTAGCTCCGCAACATTAGGTTGTATGCTATGGCATAGGTCTGTAATAGGCAGCATCAACTTTAGGGACACCAGAGAGGCGGAAACGGCTACGCAGGGAAACCCCGGTATTTTCTTTAGGAAGAGCGTTGACCCCTTGATTTATATACCATTGGATTCTGCTCGACGAGAGAAATCTATTGGTACTAGTCTCGTCTCTGTAGGGCTTACGGTTGCGGAGACATGGTAAGGTAAGTAAGATAAGGTAAGTAATATAAGTCCACCTTAGGGAGACAACCCTTAGGGAACATCGCTCTGGGAGAGGAGATAGTTCCCACCAGGAACTATCAAACACAATACTGGGTAGATGGAGCTCATAAGTCCAGAAAGACAGTCCATCTTCGGGAGACAACCCTGAGGAAAAATCGGTCTTGGATAGGAGATGGGTGCCACCAAGACCTATCAAACCCAATACTGGGCAGATGGAGCTCATGAGTCCTGAAAGACAGTCCATCTTCGGGAGACAACCCTGAGGAAAAATCGGTCTTGGATAGGAGATGGGTGCCACCAAGACCTATCAAACCCAATACTGGGCAGATGGAGCTCATGAGTCCTGAAAGACAGTCCATCTTCGGGAGACAACCCTGAGGAAAAATCGGTCTTGGATAGGAGATGGGTGCCGTCAAGACCTATCAAACCCAGTGTAATGCTATGATGAGAACAATATCAGTAAACGCCATGCCGGATCGGTCGGGGCCCGGTTTAACAACGACCGCGCTTTCTGCTGCCGTGTCACAGGGCAGAAGTGATAAGTTAGCTACTGAGACACACCGACTAATAAAACTCCCAAATGCTGACACAGTCATAGGAACATGGAATGTTCGAACGCTTTATGCCTGTGGGAAAGTAAAAGAACTGACCCATGAACTCAGTAAATACCGATGGGACATCCTAGGCTTATCAGAAGTTAGGTGGACAGGCTCGGGAGTAACAACTACAGAAGAGGGTCATAAGATATGGTACAGTGGGGACGAAGAGAAACACCAACATGGTGTGGGTTTCATCGTAAACAAAAAACAAGTTAACTCTGTAATAAGCTGTAGACCCGTAAACAATAGAATCATTTCTCTACGAGTTAGGGCTCAACCACTTAACATAACAATAATACAAGTTTATGCGCCTACATCTGAATACCAGGACGAGGAAGTAGAATGCTTCTATGATGAACTAGAGGAGTGTATTATTGAGGCTCCGAAAAAAGACATTCTTATTGTCATGGGTGACTGGAATGCTAAGGTAGGTGAAGATGCATATGACCAATGGGCAGGCACAGCTGGACGTTTTGGATTAGGTGAAACCAATGAGAGAGGAATAAGACTGCTGGAATTTGC